TTGGCTCCTGGGAGGCCCTAGACCTTTCTGTGCCATGTTTCCAACTAGTTATATCCAAATAGGATAACAGCAGGTAGTGGCAGGTAAGCACTCCACGTGAACTAGCTTACCAGTAGATACACTCACTGTTGTGCATGGGTTGTGCAGTACGAGTAGAAAGGTCCATCAGCAGGTGGAGTGTTCACATCCATGGGCTTATGTGGGTCCTCTGGTCTCTCGACTAGTGGAAGGCATGTTTGTGCAGGATGTGTTCCCCTTACACTCAGCTTGGAGCTGGCAAGCATTGCGTCTGTCTCTCTTGCCCAGGAGCACAGGATGACTTGAAGAAGGTGACCAAGATAGCCTACTCCATGGTGAAGCAGTATGGGATGGTGCCCAGCATCGGGCAGCTCTCCTTCCCAGACCTGGAGACTGCAGCTGGAATTGGTCGACGCCCTTTCAGCCAGGGACTTCAGCAAATGATGGATCACGTAAGGCCACCCCTGGTTACACATTCTGGTTTGTTATTTACTTTCTGCAGTTCAGTGAAAAAATGCATGTAACTTGCACCCAAACAATTTGTATTTTTCTGTTAGCTGTTAAGTAGTAAATTTCAACAAGTGAACACTTAGCTATTCTATTACAATATATTAGGACTATGCAGTGAGGCATTAAGAATAGGCAAAATCACATACAGCTGTGAGTTCAGCCCAGTGTCCCTGTGCTGCCTGAAGATGCAGCAAGTGGCTGTGAAATACACTACAATGCATAGAACTGACTGTGAAAGCTGCAGTCCTGGTTCCAGTGTGGCCAAGACCCTGGTGAGCTTCTGGGAGATGGGAGGTGCAAATGTGATGTTTGGGAAGAGGGAGAAATGCTTTGCGGAGGAAGAAGCAATAATTTGGGGAGACTGGGGGGTTGTGGAACTGTGGGCAAATACCCAGCCAGGGAAAATTCTGTTGCATGAAGTCTCTCCAGGCCTTCAGGAGTCCCATGTATATCTTAAGCATGGCTATGGAATGCTTAGATTACAAGAAACCTGTGTCTTAAAGTCTCAGTTGCATAATTTGAATGTCTCTACTTCCTACATCAGAGAGGCTATCTAACCAAAATGATGGTTCAGACTGACTGAAAAATGTTAGCCTGTTTTGACAGGAAATTGGGCTTCATTGCTGCAAAAAACATTGCCTTAGTTGAAAAATCAAATAGCTGGAAACGAAAAAAACTCTGGTTCAGAAGTGCTATGGTTGTGCTTCCCTGGGATTTGTGCTGAGCTGCATCTTTTTCTGCCAGACAGCCTCCTTAATTAGACTGCATTTCCCATCAGCTGGGACTCAACTGAAGAATTGTGCTCGTGCAGGCGTTTACTGTTCTTTATCATGAGTGCTACTTTGGCTTTTTTTCAAACGGTTTATCTGTATTTTCTGTTGATGGGAACCACTTTCTGCCTGGCTCAGTCTGCAGATTTCCATCCCTCAGTGCTCTCCTTGTTTATCCACGTGTTGTGTTTGTTGCCACCTATGCTTCAAATCTCTCTTCTTGTTACTGTCTTCTAGGAAGCAAAAGTTCTGGTGGCTCAGGCTTACAGGCGCACAGAAAAACTCTTATTGGAGAACCGGGACAAGCTGCAAACAGTAAGTTGGAGTTGTGTGGGGTTTTTGCTTGGTTTTTGGGTTTTTCTTCAAACTGGTCATTTTTGCCTTGCCACTTCTGTGCTCTGTAGTTTGGCTGTTGCAGTGTCTCTGTGGTCCTAGAAAGTCTTGTAGTGGGAGTGCTGGGGCTCATGTTTGTGAGCAAGTGACTCTTTACTGCATATCCCCCAGATTAGGAGCAGGCACAGGGAGGACTGTGTGCCTTTTCCAGCAGTGAGTGGTCTGCCCCCTGACACCAGCTGGTATTTGCAGGGTAGAGGAGTAGGAGCGCTCTGTGGAAGTGATCAAAGCTAGAATTTGTTTCCCTCACCTGCACTTCTCTGCTAGCCTCTTGGCAGTGTAATTTCCTGGAGAGAAGACAGTGACTGTTTTTGTGAAGCCTGCAAAGGCAGAAAGAGCTCATCCTTCCGGGTCCTGTAGACGTACAGGAATCAGGTGGACAATTTCTGGCTTTGGTGAAAGAATATGGGACCCGTCACCTTGGCTTGACTAATGCTGGTTCACGCTTTCTGGTGACTCCAGGCTGTTTTCACCTGCCAGCTCCCTGATACCTGATATACCAAGGAGTCCTTGTTGCAGAGGTAGAGCTTTGCCTACTCCCCTTTGTGTCCTGACAGTCCCATAGGCAGTCACCCTGGCGTGTCCCCACCTCTCTGCCAGGAGCTCTGTACCAATCGCTCTGGGCTGAGCCACGCTTGGGTTGCAGCACCCTGCATATCTACTTGATCTTTCCTTCGGAAGTCTGGTCTGTAACATCCAAAATGACCAGGAGTCAACTTAGCGTTGCATGTTTTACAAATAAAACAATCCCTTCTTTTTAAACAAACAACAACGAAAACCCTTTCAGCTATGCAACTGCAGGCCTGCTTCACGTAGTGAGGTAGCCAGGGCTTGCTTGCTCGGACACCCTGCTGTTGGCCATATCACAGCCCTGTCCCCGGGACAGGGCCCTGGGAGTGCTCTGAAGGCAGGTGTTGTTAGGGGGTCTCCTCTCTGCAGGCCTCCTCTGTTCTGATCCTTTCATTTAACAGCAGTCAGATCTTTGCTAGAGGCTCATCACAGGAAAACTTTTAAGTTAAGCCAAAGTGTCTACAGGGTAAATGTTTCAGTTGCCAGGGCAGTGTGTGCTGCATCTTGTCAGCAGAATTGAGCAGTTCTGTGTTTGACAGCCACCTGCTGCTCAAGTGTGGCCCTTCTGCTGGCAGAGGGGCCAGGGAATTCAACTTTTCTGGAGAGGAACTTCTGATGACCTTTAGCCTGTGTCTTCAGGAACTGAGCGCTCTTTGTTGTCCCTGTGCATACAGGGGAGGGTTGCAGGTCAGTCTGTGGTCTCATTTGCTGCTACTTTGGCATCTTAAGACAGGCAGGGCCACAGGTGCAGTGACAGTGGTAGGAAGGGCACTTCTCTAATTGTTTCTGGAGTTCTGAGTCGCCGAATCATTCCCTAGAGCTTGCTTTATTGCCTCCAGTCATGCTGTGTATTCCTGGCCAAAAACGCTCTTGTGAAAGGTGCCGGCAGCCTGGAGAACTTTGTACTGGCTCCAGCAGGCTTTCGGGTCACCCCATCTGTGGGGTGGTAGCCAGGGGTCTGCTCCTCGTGAGCTGCAGCATGTGCTGTGTCCAGATGTTGAGATCTGAGTTGAGCTGTCAGGGAGAGTTCACATCAGTTCAGAGAGGCTGTTGTCGAACCCTTGTGCCTCATTATGCCTTATTTACTCTTTCTAGCTGTCTAATGCCCTCCTGGAGAAAGAAGTGATAAATTATGATGACATTGAAGCTTTGATTGGGCCTCCACCCTATGGGCCAAAGAAAATGATAGCTCCTCAGAGCTGGCTTCAAGCGGAGAGAGACAAGCAAGACACAAGAGATGAAGAAATGCCCCAGCAGCCACCAAACCATGAGGAGGAGGAGGAACCACGCCTGAGACCAGTATGAAGCCCACTCCTGATGTGGAACAGGAGGACTCCAGAGGCTTCTTTTGGACACAGACCCTTTCCTTTTTCAGCTCCAGAATCAAAGATACCGAGCAGGAAATCTCTGTGCTGCTGTTATCTGAAAATTAAGGGATGGCTACATTGGCTCTTTTAATGAGTTTTTTCCTGCAGGAGGAAGAACTCCTTAGCATTTTGAAATTGATTCTCAGCAGGGTAGTAGTGATGAGGAGCTGGGTAAGTCTAATCCGCTGGAAAGATTTCTTGTACACGGGAGCAGTGTACACATTCTTAACGGTGAACGATCGTGTGGAGTCCTTGTCAGACACCTCTCACTGTGCTGTTTGACATGGCAGGAGTGCAGGGCTGTCCCCTTCCGTGCCAGAATGGTCAGTGTAGTGAAACCTCTGCAAGACTCTGAGCCCGCTGAGGTGCTCCAGTTCTTGTGCAACTCTGCTGTAACCTTTGGTGATCTCTGCTGCTGAACATAAAATAGAAACGGAAAAACAGACTTCACTAGAATAAACTGTTCATAATATGCTGCTGTGTCTGTAGAATATGTCAAGATGCAGATATGCGTTTTGGCACATATAAAGCTTATTGTAGCTATCGAGTTGTACAGGAAAAGGGCTTTCTTCTCCCTGTCCAATAACTTACATTCAGTTTTTATAGCAAGTTTCTCGCAAGCAGAGGTTGAGGAAAACCTGTGTGCAGAAACCAACATAACCCTGCTGTGTGATGTTAGAAACTAGCGTTGCAGAGAGTGGCTCCGAGTTACATGTTGGAAGATTGTTTGGCGGCACTGCTGGTTCAGAGCTGGAGAGGAGCTCTCAGGAACTTGAGCAAAAGCAGGTGTGTCTGTTGGGAAGCCTCGGTAAAAAGCCGGCAGTTCCTCTGGCTCCTTCCTCGTGGCTCTTGCAGAACAAGCTGTGATGACATGGTTGTCTGCCATTCAGCAGGGAAAGCATTAAAATGATTGTTGGTGCCTGGTGTGCTCTGGCTGGATTAATCCTTTAGGAAAGGTTAGTGACTTGAGTTATTCTGTGAGGATTGTCTGTGACTTGAAAGACCCCACCCCAAGCCCATCACCTCCCAGGCCTCAGTCACAATCCCCAGGCTGCTGCTCACGGAGTCAGGCTGGAGCCGAGAGCCTCTCCTTTCTCCTGATGATGGGGGGAGGATGGTTCTGCAAGGCATCCTCTCCCCTGTCCCAGCACCGATACACCTACGTACACGGAGCCTCGAGCCCTCCCTCGAGGGCTGGTTGTCATCCCCGTGGTGGGGACGATTTCCCTTGCTTTCAGGGGCAGAAGTGGTTTTCTACATTTGGGAAGCTACTGCCTGGATTTTTTTTTTTCTTCCAAACCTGTTTGTTTCTTCACAAGGTCAATTCTTTGAATTCACTTTTCCAGCAGCAGATATTCTTTTATAATTTTTGTTTGTTTGTTTTAAAGTCGTGGCTGCGTTCTAAGCTGCCTGAATCAACCCTTTGCCGGGAGGATTTGGTTCTGCGGAGCTGAGGGGGATGCCCGTAGGGGTGCTGTGCTGGTGGGACAGTGCAGGGGCCTGGGTGGCTTCCAGCATGGCCGTGCCATCCAGCCGGCAGGATCCACTGGAGGATGTGGGCTCTGCCAAGGTGGGTGGTGGTCCCCTGACCGCTCTCCTGCCATGCAGGAGATGCTGCTGCTCTCCCCAAACTGGGGAGGGTGGCAGAGCCCTGCTGGGGGGCCCCATGGCAGAGCTGGGTCTCCCTGCTTGTGCGGTGTGGAAGGGAACAGGGTCCCCCGCGGTCCTGCGGGAGCCCTTGGGGACGGCGTAACCCCCTGCCCCGTGTCCGTTCCCATCGCACCGGGCATGTTGGCCCCGGGGCTCCCTTCGCCTCGGTGTGCGCGGCCCCTTTAAGCTGCCGCCATCTTTACTAGGGGCGCGGTGAAGCTGCCGCCAGGCTCTTCCGCCGCCGTCGTTCCCATTGGGCCGTTCCCGCGGCGCTGCCCATTGGTCGCCGGTGCCGCACTTCCGGCGCTCTCGGGCGCCTCCGCTTCCTTTTCCGGTCGGCCATTTGCAGTGGCGGGAGGTGAGTCGGGGCGCTGCCGCGGCCGGGGGGGCTCCATCCGCCGCCATCCGCCCGCCGGGGGCTGTGTTTCGGACCGGGCTGTGCCCCGGGGCCGCTCGGATACCTGCGCGGGGCTGCGGGTTGCGTGGAGGGCTGCGCCCGGGCCCGGAGGGGGGCGCTGAGAGGCTCCCGGCCTGGGCATGGACATGGGCCTGGCCCGGCGGGCTTGGGAGCGTTCTGGGCCCGTCCTGGGTGGCACGGGGACCGGGGAAGGGTCTCTGGCGTGGTCGCCGGGGGATGCCCCGCGGCCCCGCTACCCCGGCGGGGCCGGCGGCCGCCTTTAGCCCTGCCCGTGTCCGCAGGCCCCGGCAGCCATGGCGCCCAGCCGCAATGGCATGATCCTGAAGCCCCACTTCCACAAGGACTGGCAGCGGCGAGTGGCCACATGGTTCAACCAGCCCGCCCGCAAGATCCGCAGGTGAGTGCCCGCGGCCCGGCTTCCCCCGGCCTGCTCCTGCTGCTTTCGCTCATGTAGTGGGGGGGAAGGTATCTCTCGTCTTGTATCGGGCTGTTTAGGAAACTGAAGTACTGTGTCTTTGTATTAAGTAGTTCTCCTAACCTTGTTAAAGGCTCTGGGATAGCAGCGGGGTGTGGGGTCTCTGGTCAGGGTCAGGCCGTTCTAGCTGCAGTCAAGTGATGAGAAATCTCCGGAATCGCTGTACCTCATTGATGATTCCCTCGAACCCTTCTGTATCTGATGACTGCGGCTGTTCTGTAGAAGCAGGCATCAGCCTGTCTGAGCTGCTAGGGCAGTGTTGTGTTTGCTTCTGAGAGATCCCCACGCTGCAGATGTTGCCCTGCAAGGGAGGTCGCCTGGCAGTGTAGGAGTGGCACATCTGGCAGAAATGCAGTGTTCCTCATCGCTCTCCCCTTCAACCTTCCAGGAGGAAGGCCCGCCAGGCGAAGGCTCGTCGCATCGCTCCCCGGCCCGTGGCTGGGCCCATCCGGCCTATAGTGAGGTGCCCTACTATCAGATACCACAAAAAAGTTCGTGCTGGCAGAGGCTTCAGCCTAGAAGAGCTTAAAGTAAGTACGGAGCACTGATCTCAACCCAATAAAACTAACTTCGAGTCTGAGCCCGGTTGTCTTGTCCTGTTCATCTGCATATAGGCAACGCGCAAGTGAATTGCCAAGGTGTCAGCATCGGCTGATGCTGGCTCAGCCAGGGGAGACTTCTGGTGTTGCTGGCTCTACAGAAGCGTAGAAAACGCTGCTCTTGCCTTTTCTTTAGCTGTGGCGTGGGAGTGCAGTAGCGTATGTCAGAGTAAAAAGTTGCTTTGAAAAGTAAACACCCATTTGTCTGGTCAGACTGTCACTTAAACAAAATTCCATTAAAATTGGGTTCTGGAAGAGCCTTAATTGAGTGTCCTAAGCTTCTTTTGGGGGTGGGTGGGGAAAAAAACTAATAGTTTCTTCATTAAATTATTTCATTTCTTTTTGAGACATGTTTCTGCTAATCCTAAAAATTTGAGCCAATGTGAACCTGTTCGTGTTGTGGACCAAGTAAGCCACCCTCAACTTATTTTTAGAGAAGTAGGGAATGTTGTGCTAGGGAAGGGAACTGTTCAGCATAGCCTTGTAGAGTAGCTATGCCTGCTTCTCATGCAATAGCTACAAGCTGGTTTAGGAACACTTAGAAGTCTGTGGGAAGTGTTCAGTGCCCTTCGTTGCTTCAGGAAACTGTTCTCGGTGACCTTCCCAGGCATGCAGAGCTGATGAGCTGTTAAAAGTTAGATTGTGGTGGTCTGCAGGAACCCTCACCGGCCTATCTCCACACAGTGGGCAGGAATAAACATCAGTGCTTGCTGGCAGCCGGCATCCAAAGCCATCTCTTGTGCGTTGTTTAGTATCTAATTAAAACATTTATAACAGTGAAATTAGTGCATTGAAGCAGTAAAATTGTTCTTTCAGATGCCAGATGCTTCATTACTTCATTTTTCTTTAATTTTTGGGTAATGTTGGAATACAAAATGGTACGCAGATGTTTGTTTTTAAACAGAAAATGAGGTTATTTCTCATTTAAGATGGTTACAAAAAAGTACTTCTTTAATGGAGCTTCTAGTATTCAGTGAACCAGAGTTATCTGCTTGCAGACTTCGAACATTTTTGTCTTATGTGTATCAAGAGTTTAAATGTCCCCCTCATAATTACTCAGGGGTTGCACTTTGCTCTCCTGAGGAGATCCATCTGCAAAAATTACTGTAAAGTCTGTGGAATATTTTAAGCATTAAAATACAGACACCAGGATGCCCTTTGCCTGCATCAGTCCCTCTTGCCAGACCCTCACACTGCTGATGGCTGTTCGGTCAGATGCTAAACCTTTCTCCAGACTCTGTAGCCTGTGACGGCTGCGCTCAAACCCTTGTCTGGCTGATGACCCGAGCGGCTACCAGCAGTAGTGTGGTGGCATTGGGAGTTGTCAGATGCTGACACTGTCCACTCTCTCTTCAGCTCGCTGGCATTAACAAAAAGTTTGCCCGGACTATTGGAATCTCTGTGGATCCCCGGCGACGTAACAAGTCTACCGAGTCCCTGCAAGCCAACGTGCAGAGGCTGAAGGAGTACCGCTCCAAACTTATCCTCTTCCCAAGGAAGCCGGCTATGCCTAAGAAGGGAGACAGCTCTGTAAGTACTTGGCTGCTAGAAACACTTCACGGGGTCTGTTTCTGGTCATGTTTTTAGAGGTTTGGTCGTTGGTCCATCCTGGTGCTGTGGCGTGCAGTCAGGCGTTGCTCTTGAACACTTTTCATAATGTAAACCCCCCAGGGGGGGAGCAGCCCTTCTTTCAGGGACAGCATGTTTCCTGTGCATGTCTGTAGGGATGACTGAGCCCAGCGCAAGGCCAGGCCTGATACGAGTCAATTTCCACAGGGATCTCTTGGGTTACAATAATGCTTTGGGGAGATTTTTGGCCTAGGGACTGCTGTGCAAAGGGGCGCAGCTCAGGTTTGGGGCTGAGCTCCTTGGGTGGTCTGTTTGCTGGAGCTTTGGTCGCTGACCAACCAGTTGAATTTTAGTTTACGAAGCTAAATTGTCAGAATGGCTGAAAAGTCCATCTGGAATTGTGTTCTGCTGTGGTGACAGCTGTGTGGAAAGGGTGAGGAAGGCGAGGACAAACTCTTCAGTGGAGCAGTTCAGTGAAAACTGTGCATAAGGCAGTCTCAAGAAGGTTGCTGCTGTTGACATACAAAAATGCTTTTCATTAAAATCTCAAGCAAGATCCAGAGTATAGCTGGCTTTCCTTGGCTCTGCCTCTGGTAGATACATGCTTCCCATGGGGCGGTGCAAGCCATGAAACGAGGTGGCGTGCTCAAGCTATCCTCAGTCTTCTGGAGCATCTGTCGGCTCTGAGCCACTTAACCGTAGTGGAGCCCACTGTGCTTGGGTTGCTTTTCAGAACAGGGGAGGAAGGGTCTCGAGCTTCTGTACCAGTAGGTACAGCTACTTGTGTCTGAAATACTGTTTCAGATTTGTTTACTTGAAATCAACTATCTAAAATAAATAATTTTTGTGTGATGCCATACTCTTAGAAGAAGCTGGAGTTACCCTTAGAAGGAATTGCTGAGGAATATGCTGGGTATCAAACTAAAAATGGCACAGTAGACGTCAACGTTTTTCTAGCTGGCAGAACTCCCGAAAGGCCGCTGCTCCTCTGGCCAGATCCGGGCTGATCGATAGCCAGGCAAAACGCGGGTTGTTGATGCGGCATGTCTGTGCCAAGTACTCCTATAGCTGCACGGCTGAAATGCTGAATTCGTTACCAATTGGCCTTAAATCTCTGGTTGGAATTGTTAACAACGTGTTTAAGCTGAGTACCTGCGTACAGGGCATGTTTTTAACCGAGGTACTAACCTCAGATGTTTTAAATACTGGGGTTTTTAATAATGGGTTTTTTTGTCCTCTTGTTATGCAGGCTGAGGAACTCAAGATGGCGACTCAGCTGACTGGACCAGTTATGCCAATCAAGAATGTAAGTGTAACTAAATCGCGTTCTCTGTGTGACATGATTGAGACTTAAACTTCCCGGAGAGGATTTTTTTCTCGCTGTTCTACAGCTAAGGGTTGCTGCCTCCAGGCACTTCCCATCCTGGATCAAAAAAAAAAAAAAAAAACAGGAACAGGCCAAGCTTGTCCTTGTCTTTTGCCAACATCTGTTTTTTGGTTCCTCAGCATTGCAGAGTGGACTGTAAAGAACTAATTACTTGAAGCTCTGCTAAACTTCTTATCAACTGAGGGAGGCCTTGCATGATGAGCTGTGTTTGTGGGTGCAGAGGAGAGCTCCAGGCACCGGTGTCAGGGGCTGTTGGTTGGGAATAATCATATGTAGGTGTTCCACTTCTACCCTGAATGGCCCATGAGAGAAGCAGAGCTCCATATGCTCTCCAGAGAAGGCCACGGGGGAACCTGCACGATAACCCCTCCAAATCACACGATTCCTGTGAAGGCACACATGAACCATCTGCCATGTGTGTTTGTGTTCAGCGCTGTGTCCTCCAGGTGGGCTCAAGGGTTGGTGATCCACTTGTACCTTTGAGGGAGCTTGTAGCCCTGTGGAATTTGGGACGTGTTGGGGTGAGGGATGTGTGCTGGCAGCACAACAGCCTGGGCAGGTTGCATCGTCACCATTTGCCTCAACCCTTGCTGCTTCCGAAAGGTGCCGTGGACAGCACGCCACAAACCTGACTCGGCTTTCACGTTGCGCTTTTTTTTTTTCCTGGTATGTTCTGGTCTTGTGCTGACGTGCACTGGCGAATTAGGAACCAGTTGAAATGAGGTGCCTGGTGGAGTGATGATAAGGGCAGAGCCTGTAGATGGCATAAATGCTCTATTCTTAACAGCGTCCTGGAGCTAGTGGTAAAAATGTAGCGAGGTTAATTGTGTTAAGCCTTAAATACAGTCTTCTCTGGGAGCCTCTGATGTGCGGTCTGACTGTCTGGCGCTCTCTCCCACTAGGTTTTCAAACGGGAGAAGGCCCGCGTTATCTCAGAAGACGAGAAGAACTTCAAGGCCTTTGCCAGCCTGCGCATGGCCCGGGCCAACGCCCGTCTCTTTGGGATTCGTGCGAAACGCGCCAAAGAAGCGGCAGAGCAGGATGTGGAGAAGAAGAAATGAACTGTTCTCCCTAGAACTGTCAATAAAAAAAAAATATAGAAATAGGAGTGTGCTGTCTTTTTAGGGCAAATGTACAGAACTGAGCTGCCCTGTTGCCTGCGCCCGCCCACTCGGCTGCAGTGTGTGTACGGCACGTGTGCTGGTGCAGATTGTGGGCCGCTGTGCGTGGAGGGATGCGGTCGGGGGGAGTTACTGTTCGGATGTCGTTTGCTGTGGTTAGAGACTCCAAACTTCCCTGAAAGCGAGTGAAACAAACACGTTGGTCTTGCGCAGCTCCCTTCAGGGAGGCAGCCTGGGCTCCCTCCTGTGCTAGAGCCTGACCCTGTCTCACTGTCTCTGGGGTGGTTGAAGCTGCCAGTCAAGGGTTTTTTGGGATACCCCCTCCCTGACAAGCTTTGTCTGCTTCCCACTTACCTGTCTGCTCTGCCAGTGTTGCAGATTTAATGATTTCCACCCCTCTGCCTGTGGTGCAGTGTCAGGCAGGCAGAGCTCTGCTATTAGAAGGTGGGGTGGGGTGGTGGGTGTCACCCATGGGCTCTTTGCCCTGTGAGCCTCACCTGGGGGCCCACAGCGCTTACTGGGGCTGTGCCCTGCACTGTCTGTGTGTGGGATCCTCCTCCCTGATTTTGGAGGGGCATGGGGGGAGCGAGGTGATTTCTTTAAGGAAATACCTTGGTGGCATTGGAGAGGAGCCTGGCTCCTCCGTGGGGAAGGGTCTGGGGGCTCTGGCCCATCCTGGTGGCTGTGTTGGGGGGTCCTGGGCTCTGCCTGCCCCAGGGTGGGGGGCTGATGTGGGGTCAGATGCGATGGGTCACGGGGCAGCGTTGGTGGGGTCTGTCCTGCTCTGGGGAGCACTCACCCAGTCCCTTCGCTGGCTAAGCAGTTCTGGGGCTGTTCTGCAGCCTGGCCATGCTGCGAAATGCCCCTGCTGGGATAATTGAATCGTTTGTTTTCGTTAGCAGGTTGACAGAAACTTGGGGATCAGATACAATTGAGCACTCCGGCACAGGGGCCAGTGGGAGCCCCGGCACAGATGGATGAACCTGAAGTTGCTTAAACGCTGGGGGCAAGAGCTGTCCGGTGTGGGGCTGCCCGTGCCACGGCAGGCTACTAGCTCATCCTTCCCAGCCCCACTGCCCGAGCCTGCGGTCAGATCCTGCGCCCCCCCCCCATGGGTCGGCTGCCTCCTGCCCCACGGGGCTGTGCCGTGGGGCTGCAGGAGGAGCGGGGAAGGAGGGTGGCCTATTTCTGCCACGCAGGCTGGGGATTAGCTCCCAAAGCCCAGGGCCCTGCAGTGCCCTCCTGCTCATTAGCCCTATCTGCATTTTAATCCCTCCAAATATGGGCTAATTACATCATCTTTCATAAAGCTGAGCTGACAGCACCGCAGTGCTGGGGTGACGTGCGTGGGTGGGGGGTGCCAGGGCAGCCCCCCAGCCGGCAGACGGGGCGCCCAGGGTTCTGGGCGCATGGAGCGTGGGTCCGGGTGCTCCGGCGTGTGGGGAGGACAGACGGCAGTTTTGGGGCACCCCGTCCTTGTGGTGGGGTGTTGGCTGAGAACGTGGCGGGGACTGCAAGCGGGACAGGCCTAGGGTACCCCACAGGGAGCGGCTGGGGAGGGCGGGGGGCCGTGGGGTGCTGGGAACCAGGGCTGTGCCACAGGCGGCTCACCGGGAGCGGGAGCACTTGCCCTGGCACTGCCAGCGGTGCCGGGGACCCCGGGAACCCCACTCAGCCCCAGTGCCCACGGACGGGCTCTGCTCCGGTACCGGCAGCGAGGCAGTTAACGGAGCTTGTCGTCTCCCTCTTAGGGCTCCGTTCCCGAACTGCAGCTTGAGTCAGTTGTGTGGAGGTGGCAGCGGCGGCAGCTCCGGCTGGCACACCGGCTCCGGCTGGCACACCGGTTTCGGCTGGCACACCGACCCAAGCCTTCGGCCCAGCCGTGTGCGGAGCCCAGGCCACCGGCACCCAGGTGAGGGGGTTGACTGGGCAGGGTGGGAGCCGGTGCCCCCTCCGCTGGGGGATGCCAAGGGGTGCCCATCGATCCCAGGGAAGAGGACGATGCCCGATGGAGCTGGGGCACCAGAGCCTTGTGCCGGGGAGGACCGGGGCTACGCGTGACTTTGCCGAGAAACTTTGGCCGGGCTGGGCACGCTGAGGTGCGGGCAGGAGTGCTGCTCAGCCCGAGCCAGGCAACCCCCGGGGTTTTGGGTGGGGGGGACAAGCCCCAGGCTGGGGCTGGCGGACCCCCTTGATGACCCATCACTGCAGCATCACCTGGCTGAGCATCACCAGCCTCTGGGTGGAGGGTGGTCCCCGTCCCCAGCATGGGGGGGTCACCCTGGGGTGCCACCAGTCCTGCCTGGGGCAGCGGGATATGGCCAGCACTGCCAGCATCACCCAGCGGCACGGACAAGGACCTGGCGTCCCCGCTGCCCTTGCCAGCGAGCCCTGCCCAGACGGGGGGTGTGCTGCCTGCAGGGGCAGGAGGAGATTTTCTTCTCCCCAGTGCCAGGAAGGGCACCCCGGGGTGGGGGCCCAGGGCTGCCTGCACAGCCCCCGCTCCTGCACAGCATCCCGGCCTCACTCGGGTACCCCTTCCCCATGGGATGCATCCTGCCCCTGGGTGGGGAGGGGGGGGGCAGAGGTGGACACAGCCCCACGGGACCCCTGGTCGGCCCAGGGGGCTGGTGGGTGAACGCGGGCACAGCAGCACCCGTGGGGCTGGGTGGCACTTGGGGGTATACGGGCAGCGTCACGAGGGGTGTCCCAGCTCCGGCTCACCCCGCTGTGCTTTGACGCCTTGCAGGGCCCTGCAGAGCCATTGGGACTGGAACCGGCCACCCCATCTCGCAGGGGGTCCCTGTGGTCCCCTCCATCCACCAGATCATCCCACCCCGGTCCCCACCAACACCCGCTGCCACTGGGGACCTGCCCGACCCCACAGACCTGGTCTCTGGTCCCACGCCTGGCACTGCGGGGCGACGTGCCCTGGGCATGACGGGCGCCTGCCCGGCTCCCTAACGAAGGCAGCGGCTGCCCTCGCCGCCCCGCTCCCCCCACATGCCTTTCTCCCACGGGGCCGCCTGCCCCCCATCACGCCCGGCCACCCACCGCGCCACGGCCACCATGGGTGAGACCCCCGAGCCGTCCCCCCAGGCTCCGCTGGCCGTCCTCTCCAAGGTGGAGCTGCGGGTGAGCTGTAAGCACCTCCTGGACCGCGACACGCTCAACAAGTCGGACCCCTGCGTCCTGCTGCTGATGCAGTCCCAGGGCCAGTGGATGGAGGTAGGAGGGTGGGGGGCACCGCCGGCACCCACCGCAGCAAGGGCCGGCTGTCATCGGGGTCGTGGCGGGGCTGGGCGCAGGGTGCTGGGCGCAGAGTTTGTGTCTCTGTGATAGCGACAGGAGCAGAGACAGCCCCAGGGTGGCTGCAACACCTGTGGGGCTGGAAATAGGGTAGGAGCTGCTGCGCAGGGTGCAGAGCAGGGTGTAAGGTGCAGGAGATGGTGCAGAGTAGGGTGCAGGGTGCGCACAGAGGATGCTGGACGCAAGGTGCAGAGCTCACGGTGCAGGGAGCAGGGCACGAGGTGTAGGGTACAGAGCGCAAGGCTCGTGGAGCAGGGCAGGGTGCTGTGGGACCCTTGGCAGCGTGTGGGGACGGTGCAGACACCTTGGTTAGAGCGAGTCCTTGGGGGCTCCGGTAAAGCCGGGGAACAGGGCGCCCACGGTGCGTGGCTCCAGCACGGCTCCGCTGCCCCAGGCCAGGGGCAAGGGACACCTTGGCCACCCCTGGGGGGGGATTAGGGCTTGCGGGCTGGTCTCATCCTGCTCGGGACAGCCAGCTCAGAGAGGGTCAGGGCCGGCACTGCGACCGCGTGCCCCTCGCTGTGCCGTGCTATGGGGCCGTGGTGCCCACACGAGCTGCGGCCGGCACTGGGACCGGCACTGGGGCTGGCACAGCTCCTTCCCATCGCTCCCCCATGGCTTAGCTCTGGGCTGGTGCCGGCAGCTCCGCGCTCACTAATCACCGCTGCTCAGCCAGCAGATTTAGCGCTAAATCCCTCTGCGTGTAATTGACTCTGCTCGCTGGAGCCAGAGCTGGAGCCAGGGCGGGCAGCGAGGGGCCCTGTGCCAGCTGCGGCTCCCAGACTGTGCCGGGCCAAGCCAGTTGTACCCTGCTGTGCCACCCCACACTCTGTGTGCCATGCCATGCTGTGCCGTGCCATGCAAAGGCCAGATCCAAGAGGGCCCCTCCTGGGCCACCTTTTGGTGGGACTCTGTGAGCTGTCCCCTCCATGTCCCTGCCAGAACATGTCCCCCAGCCCAGCCAAGACGGTGGCTGAAGCCGGCTCAGCCACTGCCCGCTGGGTCCGAGAGCCAAAACAGCCCGACACGCCGGCAGGGGCTGGCACTGGAGGGGCTGAGATGACCGAGACCCGGCGCCCCGGTGATGGGGCTGTGGGGCTGGCAGTGCCCACGCAGGAGACACAGTGCTGCATGGGGTGGCCCTGCCACCGCCGCAGCGGTGCGGGCTCGGCAGATGCTGCTGGACCAGGCAGGCGGTGGGCAGGGGCCGGCGGGCTGGCAGAGTGCCCTGGCCAGGATGCGTCCTGTTGAGTCAACGCTGGCAGGGCCGGGGTGTGGGGGAGGCTCCTGGAAAGCCGCTCGGCACCCGCTGCCGGCGCGGCCGGGAGACCCCTAGCACCCACCCACCTGCCAGGGCCACGGTGGCCAGTGGCCCTTGCCCTTGGCCAGCCTGGGGTGGGGAGCACAGGGGCTCATCCTGGGCACTAGCCCATTGCTCCTGCTTGGGCAGAGCCATGGCAAACCATAGTCCCGAGTCAGAGCATCCCCTCGAACTGACCACGGGGTTTGCCCCGAGCTCCGGAGGGAGCAGCGCCCCTGGGACGTGCGTGTGCCCTCGGGGGCACACGACCCTGCCCAAGCCAGTGCCTCCAAATGCCGTTCGCCTGGGAACCAGCACGGGCAGGTAAACGCTTGCGCAGGGCTGGTCCTTCCTGGCAGCTGCCCGGCATTTCCCATCCTGCATCCCCACATCCCTCTGCCCCTGGGTTCCTGCATCCCCGTGTCCGGCTCCAGGTGAGCTCCGGCATTCCGAGGTCCTAGGCAGCTCCACTGGTCCCAGATCCAGCCCTGAGCTGGGCTCTGGCCCCGCTGTCCCCCCCCAAGCCGAGCTCCCGCTGTGCAGGTGGACCGCAGCGAGATCATCAAGAGCAACCTCAACCCCGTCTTCGCCAAGATCTTCACGGTGGATTACTACTTCGAGGAGGTGCAGAAGCTGCGGTTCGAAGTGTACGACAGCCACGGGCACGCCGGCGTGGGCACGCACGATGATGATTTCCTGGGGGGCATGGAGTGCACCGTGGGGCAGGTGAGCCCCTGCCCCTCGCGCCAGGGACACCCACCGGCGACATCCCCTCCCCGACCCCTCGGCTTTTGCAGATCGTGGCGCAGAAGCGGGTGACGAAGCCGCTGTTCCTCAAGTACGGGAAATTCGCCGGCAAGTCCACCATCACGGTGAGCAGCCGAACCTGCACCAGGAGTGGCACCGAGCTAGGACCCCAGGGTGGCACCAAGTTGGGGCACATCAGTGGCACTGAGCTGGGGTGGGGGGCATTGAGCTGGGGGACATGGGGGGGGTCCCCAATGACCCTCCTCATGTCCTAGCTGTCATTCAGCTGTCCCCAGGCTCTTGGGGGTGAGGAGGGCTCAGAGTCCCTGCTGGCAGGGAGGGCATGGGGACAAAGCTGTACCGGGTGCTGAGCACCCCACAGCCGCCTGTCCTGGCAGGTCATCTCGGAGGAGATCTCGGGGAACAATGGCTACGTGGAGCTCGCCTTCCGGGCCAAGAAGTTGGATGACAAGGTGAGCCGGGTCCTGCGGGCAAGGGGAGCCGCGCAGGCAGGGCGGGCAGGGTGGATAGTGCTCTGCCCCATCCTTCCATCTCCAGGATCTCTTCAGCAAGTCGGATCCCTTCCTGGAGATCTACCGCATCGACGACGATCGCAGCGAGCAGCTGGTATACCGCACCGAGGTGAGGCCCCAGGCAGGATCCGTCCCTCGGCCGGCCCGTGGCCGCCCCGGCGGCTGCTCAGCCCCGCTGAGCCCCCTCGACCCCCGCAGGTGGTGAAGAACAACCTGAGCCCCATCTGGGAGCCCTTCAAGGTCTCCCTCAACTCGCTCTGCAGCTGCGAGGAGAAGAGGAAGCTGAGGGTGAGGAAGGGCAATGGGGACCCCCACCCCTGCCCCAGTGGGGCACGTGTCTCCTGGCTTCCCCGCAGCCCCACATGAGCGGCAAGCTGGGGACCCCAAGCCACCAGGGACGGTGCTGGGGCTGGGTGCAGTTTTGGGGGGCCGTGGGTGGTGCCCCCCCCCCCCCCAGCCAGGTGCTGCCCAGCCGGGGCTGAGCCGTCCCCCACCGCAGTGCGTGGTGTGGGACTACGACTCGCGGGGCAAACACGACTTCATCGGGGAGTTCTTCACCACCTTCGAGGAGATGCAGAAGGCGATGGGGGAGAACAAGGTGGGCGTGGGGACGCGGGGACAGCCTGTGGGGTCACCCCTCCGTGCTGCCAGCAGATCCCATTCCAGGAGGCACCTCCCAGCTCCTCCTCTGGTTTTGGGGCCATTCTCCCCTCGCTGTCCCCCTCTTTGGGGAAGGGATGGTGGGTCTGGGCTCCTCTGGGGAAATTGGTCCTGGGCTGGCTGGAATCCGTGGTCTGGCCGGGAGCGGGGAAGGCGGCTGCAACCTGGGGCTGTGGGGCAGCGGGGTTGGGGGGCTGCAGGGTCATAGAGCCATGGGGGCTGGAGTGTTATGGGGCTGTGGGGCTGCAGGGTTATGGGGTTGTGGGGTCACAGTGCTGCAGAGCCATGGGGCTGGGGTGCTGCGGGGTGCCGGGGGGGGACCGGCGCACGGGGCCGCATCCCTGGGGGTGGGGGGCTGCAGGCAGCGCGGGTGCTGCGTGCCACAGGTGCAGTGGGACTGCATGAACCCCAAGTACAAAATCAAGAAGCGCAACTACAAGAACTCGGGGGTCGTGGTGCTGCTGGACCTGAAGGTGAGCACCCCCGTGCCGTGCCGTGCCGTGCCATGCCTGGCTGCTGTAGGGTGGCGTGGGGCAGGACCGGCTGATGCGGGTCCCTCTGGAAGATCCACAGGGTCTACTCCTTCCTGGACTATATCATGGGCGGCTGCCAGATCCACTTCACGGTGAGCGGCGTACCCCCACCCCGAAGCGCCAGCAGCTGGGCAGGGGCTCCGACACCGGGCCAAGTGCCCGTCCCCAGGGCCAGGGGCTGCAGGTTTTGCATCCCGGCTGCCCCGAGCCTCAGCTGTGCCATGGGGCCGGCACAGCCACCCGATCCGAGCAGGGACGTGCTGGTGGCCCTGCTCACCATGGGGGGACCCTCACCGCTGCTCCCCCCCACCAGGTGGCCATTGACTTCACGGCCTCCAACGGGGACCCCCGAAACAGCTGCTCCCTGCACTACATCAACCCCTACCAGCCCAACGAGTACCTCAAGGCACTGGTCGCAGTGGGTGAGATCTGCCAGGACTATGACAGGTCAGTGATGGCCACCCCAGGGCCAGGACACCCCAGTGATGGGCACCCTGGTGCTGGCAGTGCCGGTGCCGGGGCTCCTTATGCCTCTTCCCTTGCAGCGATAAGAAATTCTCAGCTCTGGGCTTTGGTGCGAGGATCCCCCCCAAGTACGAGGTAAGGGGGTGGTCAGGGCACCGGGGCGCCATGGGACGCCAGGGATACCCTCATCCCTCCAGCCACCCTTGGCCGTGGCTCCTGTGGGGCTCGGCACGTGCCGGGGGCTGTGGCGGGTGGGTGAGCACCGGCTGCCCCCTCCCCTCTCGCCCTCCAGGTCTCCCACGACTTTGCCATCAACTTCAACCCTGACAATGATGAGTGCGAGGGTGAGTCCAGCTCTGATGGGGCTGGGGAGGCTGGGCCCCCAGCCCCCCCCCGTGCCAGAGCCTGGTGCTGCCCACCCCTCACCTCTCACATCCCCCCCCAGGCATCCAGGGCGTCGTGGAGTCCTACCAGAGCTGCCTGCCCAAAATCCAGCTCTATGGCCCCACCAATGTGGCCCCCATCATCTCCAAGGTGGCTCGTGTGGCAGCAAACGAGGAGCGGACGAAGGAGGCTTCGGTAGGTACCCGCTGCCCCTGGCCGGTGGGCTACAGGCTGGGCTGAGACCCGGCACGCTCATGCCACTTGTGGCTGCTCCCCCATCGGAGCGGAGCCCTTGTCCGGCTCCCCCCGCTTGGGGCCAGCAGTGGGGCCAGGCAGCCCCCCCCAAAGCATCCGTCTCCCCCCCCCAGCAATACTTCATCCTGCTGATCCTGACGGACGGAGTGGTGACAGACATGGCGGACACGCGGGAGGCCATCGTCCGTGCCTCCTACCTGCCCATGTCCATCATCATCGTGGGGGTGGGCAACGCCGACTTCACCGACATGCAGATCCTGGATGGGGACGACGGCATCCTGCGGTCCCCCAAGGGCGAGCCCGTCCTCCGTGACATAGTCCAGTTCGTCCCTTTCCGGGAGTTCAAGAACGTGAGTGGGGTATCGGCGGTCCTCCCGTCCCCACGGCAGGACCGAGCATCGCGGCACGGCATGCCGGTGCCCCCGTGGGTGCTGCTGCTCACACCGGGGCAGGCGGGTACCACCGTGTCCTGACTCACCCGTCCCCCCCGGTGTCCCCCGTCCCGCAGGCGTCACCGACGGCCCTGGCGAAGTGCGTGCTGGCGGAGGTGCCCAAGCAGGTGGTGGAGTACTACAGCTACAAGGCCTTCCCCCCCCGCTGCCCCCAGCCTGACACCCCCGACTCCAACCTCAGCTCGCCCCAGTGAGAGCCCCCCCCCCGCTCCACGCAGCGTGGCGTGGGGACGGATGGGGTCCCTGACGGGTCCCAACCCTGCCGCAGACCCCTCCTTGCCGGGCGGGGGGGGGGCACCGGGAGCTGGCAGCGCGATACGGGGACAGTCCCGGTGCTCCAGTGCAGGGCACCCCCTCCCTGCGCTGCCCAGGGTACTGGGGGTCCCCAGCGGGCATTGCCTGGTCCCAGTGGTCCGTGCCCTGTGGCCCATTCCCACTCCATCCGTGCTGTCCCCGTGGTCCCCTCGGTCCCCGCTTTTCTGTCGCTGTGACGTTGTTTGGAGGCTGCATGACGAAACCCCCTCCCCAGCGTGCGGGGGGGACACCCCCCAATAAAGCAACCAGCCCCGTGCCGCGTGCTCTCTGGGCGCCAACACCAAACCTCCCTGCTGGGTGCTCAGTGGGGCGCGGGCAGAGGGACAGGCAGCTCTCAGGGTGCTGCCCGGCCCCCCTCGTGCCCCTCACCATGCCACCACACTGCCCAGCCCTGGCCGGCAGCAAGCGAGAGCCGAACGTGTCCCCCAGCCCCGGCTGCCCGCACGGGCACTGCCGCTGGCCGCTCCAGCTGCCCCTATATTTAAGGGGATTCGTGACTGGCAGCGTGCAGGGGAGCGCCGGCGCTTTGAAGCTGCGGTACTTTTGAGCAGCCACTGCTTTCAAGTTGTGCCGGAGCAGCCGACTGCCCTGCTGTGCCGCTGCCGGCTGCTGCGGCCCCAAAATCCAGGCCACGGGAGCGGGAGTGGAGGCAGCGCTGGCACCCGCCTCCTGCCCCTGCCTGGCACATTGCCTCTGCCACGTGCCACATGCCGTGTGCCATGTACCATGTGCCAGGTGCTATACCATGTGCTGTGGGTTGCGTGCCACGCGCTGCATGCCACACGCTGTGCCATGTGCTGTGTGCTGCATGCTGTACACTGTGCCGTGTGCCGTGTGCCATGTGGCACATACTGTGTGCCGTGTACTATGTACTGTGCCATGTACCATGTGCCACATACCATGTGCCATATGCTATGTACTGTGCCGTGTGCTGTGTACCGTATGCCATGCACCATGTGCCACGTGCTGTGTGCTATGTGGTATATGCTGCATGCCATGCACTGTGCCATGCTGTGCCATGTGCCGTGTACTGCACGCCGGGCGCTGTGCCACACCGCTGCCGTGCGCAGCGCGCCAAGCACTGCGCGCTACTTGCTGCACCAAACGCCGGGTGCTGTTCACCGGGTGCCAGCTGTCTACTGCCGTGCGCTGTGTGACAGTGTGCCGCGTGTCCTTCACCTGCTGTGTGTTGCCGTCCCGGTGCTGGCAGATGCTCCTGGGGCAGTGATGTCCACCGGAGCGGGGTGTCACCCAAAGCCACCACAGGGACTGAAACTGGGGCCCGGGGCAGCCGTCACGGGGCAAGGGCCACCCAAGACCCTGCCAGGCGGGTGCCACCAAGCCGGGCTGCGGGACCAGGGATGCCGCCATCACCCTGGGTGCCAGCACAGGGGTGCCAGCCTGTCCCGGTCCGGGCAGCCACTCACCCGTCCACTGGGATGGCCACGCTGAACCGCCGCGACCTTCTGGCGCTGCCCGCTGCCGGCACTCCTGCATGCAGGCAGAGCGCGCTGCCCGCACCACCCCGATCAACCCGCGTATTTATAGCTCCTGATTCATCTGCTATAAAGCAGGATAATAGACGTCGCCATAGAAACCCGGCGCCTGACGAGGCTGCGGCGGCAGCCGGCCCTCGGCGCGGGCAGGGGTCTGCCCCAGCACCCCCATCTGTGGGGCTGGCTGGGTGGGTGCCCCACCGGTGGGTGCAGGGGGACCCCACGGGGCTGGGGGGTCCTGGTGTCACCCAGCCAGGCTGCACCCGCCGGCGGTGCAGCAGGGCCGGGGAGTGGCGGGGGGGGGGGGGGGGGGG